TCTTCTTTCTCTCTCTCTCTTTCTTCTTTCTCTCTCTCTCTTTCTTCCTTCTCTCTCTCTCTCTTTCTTCCTTCTCTCTCTCTCTCTTTCTTCTTTCTTTCTCTTTCTTTTTCTTTTTCTTGACATCCTCTCACTTTGTCACCCAGGCTGGAGTGCAGTGGTGTAATCTTGGCTCACTGCAACTTCTGCCTCCTGGATTCAAGCGATTCTCCTGCCTCAGTCTCCTGAGTAGCTGCGATTACAGGCTTGCACCACCATGCCTGGCTAATTTTTTTGTATTTTAGTAGAGATGGGGTTTTACCATGTTGCCAGGCTGGTCTCAAACTCTTGACTTCAAGCAATCTGCCTGCCTCAGCCTCCTAAAGTGTTGGAATTATGGGCGTAAGCCACTGCACCTGGCCTATTTTCTTGATATTTTTTGTACCAGCACTGTTGAAGCAGAGGAAACATGTTACCACCCTGAAAGGAAATAATTCCCTTTTCTTTTCTTCCATCTTTTTGAGGGGAAGTTTTCTGGTCAGAGCTACTGTGTCTTTAATGCCGACCTCCCTTTTCTCCCAGAGAGAGTGGCTCAGAGCCTTGGGTCGGTGAGAGATCTAGAGAGGATTTATGTTGTTTTGTTTTCATTGAGTTTAATTTTACAGTTACCTTTAATTTATGACAAGTGGCTCTGGTCCCCATATCCGGGATAATATTACATTTTCTTTAAAAATAATCACATTACACTGTCAATGTATGCCAATTATACCTCAATAAAGCTGTAAAAATAAATGAATATATTTTAGTAAATAAAAGCAAGTTGGTTTACAGAGAATGATAAGTAAATACTAGTATAGGTACTTAAAAATAGGGAAGGGTGAGCCACAGCCTTGCGGGTCTCAGACAAGACCTCTTGCCTAAGGGGACAGTGCAGGTCACACTGACCTCTCCGTGGATCCCAGACTCTGGGCCCTTTCCCACTCCCAGGAAGCAGCAAGGTCAGTCTGGAGAGCATGACAGGGAACTTTCTAGGAAGAAAGTTCCAGAAGAAATTTCTTAGAACTGTTGCAGAATGTCAAAATCTTGGGGTAGGAGCAGCCTGCAACCAGCGTCTCCCCTTCCTGCACCCCAGTTGTGACTCAGGGTGACCCTGGTGAGTGGGTACCTAGATCCCCCTGGACTGTGCCATGGGCAAGGGGGCTGCGTGCAGCCTGGCTGAGCCTGGAAACGTGTTCAGTGGCCTTGCAGAACTCCCCTTCCTCCACCCAAAGCACTAGCAGATGCTTGGCAGTTGAGTTTCTGCCTGACCTCAGGAGGTACAGGAAGGACACAGAGGGGCCAGTCCTTGACCCCAGAGTGGGACTGGCCTGGAGGGGACGATGAGGGAGGGAGGAATGTGCCAGGAGTGGGGGGGGCATAGCCTCCCTTTTCCTGATCCCTGCCCCAGGAGTGGAGGGGTCATAGTCTCCCTTTTCTCGATCCCTGCCCCAGGAGTGGGGGGGTCATGGCCTCCCTTTTTCTGATCCCTGCCCCAGGAGTGGGGGGGCCATAGCCTCCCTTTTCCCAATCCCTGCCCCAGGAGTGGAGGGGTCATTACCTCCCTTTTCCCAATCCCTGCCCCAGGAGTGGGGGGGTCATAGCCTCCCTTTTCCCGATCCCTGCCCCAGGAGTGGGGACTCAGCTGGCTGCTATAAGGCTGGTGCACTACAGAGTGGGGAGAACGCAAAGTCCATTGGCCGCAAAGCAGCGACTGGGCCTCTGAAATGTCGAGTGAGCCTGTCAGGTTAGACAGAGTTAGATGGGCACACCCAGGCTCTCCCAGGCCTGCCGCTTCCTGCCCCAGGGCCTTTGTACCAGCTGCCCCTCTGCCTGGCTCTTTCCTGGCTCTCTAGATGGCTGATTCCTCTCCTTTTAGCTCTCAGCTGATGTCACCACCTCCAAGAAGCCTCCCCTGATCACTCTCTAAAGAACCCTGCGGGTCTTGCTGTCACATCCTTGGTTTCATTTCCTTCACTGCAGAGCTTAGTGTGAGCTCAGGTTGATATTATTCCTTCGTGTGTTCACATGTTTAGTGCACGTCCTAATTCGGACCCTGGGCACTCAGCTTGTTGTAGGTTTGTATAACAGGAGCTCAAGGTATTGAATGGATTTTGTCCGTGGACATGATGCCCAACACAGACCCTGCCTCTGCTGCACTCTGGGAGGAGAGGCAAGCGTCGCCACCAGCCTGGCAGGCAGCAGACCTCTGAATAACCAAGTGAATTATGCCCATTTCAAAGATTGGTCACTGAGTCTCAGAGAGGTAGAAGTCTCCCAGCCCAGGGGCCCATGGTCAGGATGATGTGAGGTCTTACCCCGTGGAGATCCAGAGCCCACTGAGGCGTGGGGGCAAGATTGCAGTGCTGGCTGCTCTATCTGGCAAGGCTGGCTGGCAGCGGGGTTCCCAGTGCAGGCGGCCGTCCCCGGCTTCCCCAGCTGCCTGTACAATGTGAGCTGCAAAGCAGACAGACCTGGGTAAGACCCCAGCATGCCCCAGGAACACCCCAACCCCACTGTGGCCACAGAGAGCCAGGCAGGGAGTCCCCAGGGTGCCCCAGTTCTGGAGACAGTGATGGGCTCCCCATATTGAGACTCCTAGAGTCAGCCTCCCTGACGCATCTCTTCCTGGGTTCCCAGATGTGATCACCCTGGAATCCAAGCCTCCCAGGTGGAGACTATCCCGGATTCCGGGGCTGAGAATTCCACTGCGTGGAGCAGACTCCTGGAAGCCCAGATCTTCCATGGGTTCGTCAGCCATGGCTGGGTCGCACCGGCTGGTGGCTGAAGGACCCACGCTCCTAAACAAAGGACACTCTGGACTCATGACGGGGTGCTGGGGACAGTGGGACCCCAGCCCATCCCCAGAGCAGACCGCTCCCGCTCCCCTCCACCAAGGAGTTCCAGAGCTGCTGGGATCTCCAAGCACAGACTAGGCCCCTCGAGGCCACTTGCTTCAGGCCTCACTGGTGCTGGGTGCCTGCTATCTACTTGGTGCTCAGTGAGCGTGTGGCAAGTGAATGATTACGTGGCCGCTGCAGGCCTGGGTCAAGGCCTGAGGCCAAACAATGCAGGCCCTGCCCTTCTGCAGGGCCTGTCCCTAAGCCAGGACCCCAGGGAAGGAATTAGCCTCGGGGCAGAAGGTGCCCAGAAGATGTCCACGGGAAGATGGACAGGGGAAGATGGACAGAGGAAGATGGACAGGGGTAGATGGACACGGGAAGATGGACCCGGGAAGATGGACCGGGGAAGATGGACACGGGAAGATGGACACGGGAAGATGGACACGGGAAGATGGACAGGGGAAGATGGACACGGGAAGATGGAC